CGCCCTTAATTCAACTCACTATCAAAATCTTTTTAAAGTATTTCTTTAAAATGTAACTCATTTTTCAAAAATATTTAATGACACTATATTGAAATCTAATAAAATGTTTGGATGGTCAAGGCCCCTAGAGTCTATCTCCAAGTTGTTTTTCACAGGCTTTTATCTACTGCTACCCGGCATCAGACAAGACTACATACTGTACATTCAGTCCTCAACCAGTCAGCGTTTCTTATGCTCATGCTAAGTCCCTGGAACTAGCATAGGTTCCAGAGATATAAACATGAATGAGACATGTCTCTTCCTCTACATTTTTACATATTATAGTCTTAGCTGAAAAATACCATTTTTACCAGTATGAAATAAATAAAGTTAATCATTCAACAAATTATTTTTTTGTATCGTTTTTAGTTTTTAATGTTTCATTTAGATAAGATTTATGGATAATTGAAAATGATTCTAATCAATTATATGATATAGCAATAGCTAGTAATAAATACAAAACACTTAGTAATTAGAAGAGATTAACTCTTCTTTCAATTGACTTTTGGCTGTAAAGGATTAGGGTAGTGTTCTTTTTTTTTGTAAATATAAGAAAAATATTTTATAAAATGTTTAAAAATTTCATTGTTAATCTTAAGTCTTAATCATTAAGCTTTTTCATATTAAAAAAAAGTTCTGTGTTTGGTGAGTTACTTCTTATCAACTTTCTAAATCACTTATCTCTGTCCTCAACATTTCTTATTATCTTGAATCTATATTGCACCCAAGAACATTTTATGTTTAAGGTTATCTCTGTGGAAGAGAAATTATCTAAGGTCATCTCTCAGGAAGTTTCTCTCTTGATTAAATAAGGGATTAAATATGCTTTTCTAAGTGGTATGTGCTACATGCCTCTCTCTCTCTTTTCTTTCTCTCTCTCTCTTTCTCGTGACAATTTCTGGGATAATCTTAAGTAATTGGACATAATTGTGGACCTAATCATGAACCTAAAAAGTTGGGTCCTAATCATGGACCTAAAAGTTAGTGTTGAGTGTTACTTCAATGTTAAATGTGAGATGAAATGTTTCTCTCAAGCTTATTTTCTTTTAAAAATAGACATAGGTATATGAGGAAGGTAATTCTTAGCAATATGTGTAGTCAATATATTTCAAGTATAACTAGAGTTAGGAATAGTTTTTCAGGATTAAGAGCTCTGTGCCTCTCCAATTGTACCATATAAGAGACTTTGAATTCCGCTTCATAGATTCAACCTTTACAGGTTTGTAACAACCTGAGAAATTGAGTGACTTGAAGGAAGTAGGGGATATTATAGTAGAATCACTGCAACAGTGTAAGTCCACTCCTATCTGTCCATTTCAAAACAGACTGTGAGGCCCAGGAGACATGCAGCCAGAGTTACCATTTAGTTTTTTCTTTACACAATAATTCATTCATTCATTCATTAAATATTCCTCAGAAATGAGGTACTATGTTAACTCTTGTGGATATACAAAAATGTATCCAATTTTTTAAAAAGCTTACAATCTTGTAGTAAAAACTTCTATGCCACATTTTGAATTGTAGAATATTTTAATTAGCATATTTCTATAACCATTAATACACGTTAACCATGATTCCTGTTGATTGTAGCACAATCTTTATAGTACACTCTTTTAAAAATTTTACAAAGTGTACTAGTTTGGAGGATAAATTATACTAGTAGTTCTCAAAATATAGTCTGGTTATCTCTGGGGGAGCTCCTAAGATACTTTCATGGGGTCAGCAAAATCAAAATTATTTTCATAATGTAATACAAAATATTTTTACTTTTTCACTCTTATTTTCTTTTAACTGGAGTTTTCTAGAGCTACATGATGTGCGATATTGTAACATTAACCGTAGAAGCAGATCTGAGAATCCAGATGTCTTTTATTAAGCTAAATATGTTATTTATGGTAACATGTACTAGGTTTATTTTAATTGTATTATTTTTGAATAAATTTGTAAGTAAATATATATTTTGGTCTGATTTTTATTGTCTGTTGGTAAATGTTCATAAATGTAATCCATATAAGCATCAGCCTTTTGAGGCCCTCAATAGTACTTGAGTATAAAAGGGTCCTGAGTTGAGAATTATGTTACTGTAATTATTTTTATGTACTATTTCTATTACCAATTTGGGTTTACTTCAGTTTCTGTCTTTAAGGTTATATAATTTTATTTTTCCAGATATGAGCAGACTTCCTCTCATTAATTCCTACATTCAAGAAATGTTATGGACCTATGATTGTGCTGAAAGCTGGGAATACTGAAGCAAACTGAATGAATTTTGTTATATAGGAAATGATTTTTAATCAAGTGAGCATTAAAATTTAAGTGAAATTCACTTGTGGCAAGCTATAAAGAAAAGCTACACAGTTTATGTCTTCCTATAATATTTTGATTTGAACTTGGAAGGATGGAAACCTTCCCCTGGGAAGTTACATTTGAACTGAAATATAAAGGGTGCATAAGCATTCATAGAATGCTGAATGCAAAGGGCATCACAGAGAGAAAATAGAATATGCAAAGGCCCTATGGAAGGAGGAAGCATGAAGGAGCTCAGTGAGAGGGAAAGACTCAGAAGATCAATATGGCATAAAAACAATTACAGTAGGGTAGATGGAATCAGGATAAGAAATTCAGGTAAAGAGAGAGGTAGGGACCAAACCATTAAAGGCTTTATGTGCACAATAAAGAATTTTTCTTTAATCCTAAGAGCAATGTGAACCCACCAAAAAGTATAAATGGGTAAAAGAAGTACAGAGGAGTTTTTTTAGGTCCATGATTTGATTTGTGGGTGTTCATTCAAGCGAACACAGCTATGTGATAATGGAGTTTGAACTGGGCTGATAGTTTTCAAGAAATGGAGAAATATTTAGGGACAAAATCAATGTAGCTTATCCATGGCTAAGATATGTAGAAGGATGATGGGACTATGAACAGACTTTTTTCATTAATTCATGCATTTAAGAAACATTTAAGAATTTAAGAAATTGATTGCACATAAAGATTTCTGACTATGCAACTGACTGGTTAATAAAACAATTCACTTGAGCAGAAGAAGGTAGTACTGACCAATAAAGGCACAGAATTTCCATGAAAATGATAGTCACATATGGGCCTACAACTCTACAGTGATGAGTGGAGATGATGAACAGTAAACTGCAGACTAAATAAGGTCAACAGCCCAATAACATCAATCTCAGTGAAAAGAGTTGTTTTATCCTCCAAAAATAGAAACATAAATCGAGCTCAAACTGATTTTGACATCCACTATTTTTATAGTCCTGAATTACCTCCCCCTCCCCCGCCCCCACCTCCCTTATTCACTGTGACCAGGCACAGCAGGGGTCAGAAGTTGTAAATTTTCTCTTTCAAATCAGTTTTTACCACCTCATTCACCCAGTCAATGAGAATGAGCATCTAGAATGTATTATGTTACTTAAGGGTTCTTTACTGTATTTTTTTTTTTTTCAGCATTGTCTTTATGTATAATTACAGCAGCATCAACAAATCTCCATCAGGTTTCCTTGAAGAGTTGTATAACAATAGAAAAAGCCAGGCTCCAGGCCCAGCCAACTGATTCAAATCTCTGGGAGAGGCTCAAATCCAGGAAGAGATTTGAATCAACTCCTAGACAACTCCTCTGTACGCTGAAGTTGAAAAAAACTGCAAAAGAAACTGTGGGGAAATGTTGAAATCTGGATTTTGTAGATTGTGGAAACCTCAGTGAGGTAGCTGCTCACACTTGAGACCTAGAATGAAGCTGTCTTTGGAAGCTTTCAGGATTATACTTTCGTTCCGACTTAATGACTTTCATGGATCAATTTGTGGTGCGCAGGATGAGAAAGCAGCAGCTACTCTATAATTGATTAAATTCTGTGATTGAGAAGTTGATTATGATTGACTTTCTGGGGATTCTTGGATTGGAACTTGCCCTGTTCTTGGTTTTAAAAGGAATTTTACTTGGTAGCCCTACATGTTTAACATCATAATCATAGATTCCTTTTTTCCCTTTGTCACATGTATAATCTGTTTTTCTACTTTTCCATCTGAGGAGAAAGCATCCCTGTTATCAACTAGAATGACTATTCTTCTAAGATAGTTCCTCTGTGGCCAGTAATACTTGAAACACTTTATTTGTGTTAGGGAATTTAACTGATTGCACGTTGATAGTTTTCAGAACACATAAATCTTAATTCCCGGGGCATATACTACTAATATTTACCTTATCCTCAGTCTTTTCAACTAAATTTTTAATATTTAAATCAAATTTCTGTAGCTATTTGCCTCACTTTGAGTTTTATTATAACACATTAAATAAACTGCGTGCAATTGGAATGTCAGATGACTCATGCAGTCGTCACTCATTATCTGCAGTTTTGTTTTCTGTGGCTTGAGTTACCTGCAGTCAACTGTGGTCCAAACTATTAAACGGGAAACTCCAGAAATAAATAATTCATAAGTTTTAAATGCATGCCATTCTAAGTAGTTTGATGAAATCTTATGCTATATCGCTCTCTCCCACCTGGACCATGAATCATCGCTTTGTCCAGCATGTCCACTCCGTATACATTACCTGCCTGTTAGGTATTTAGTAGATGTCTCATTAATCAGATTGGCTATTTTAGCATTGTAGTGCATGTGTTCAGATAACCTTTATTTTACTTGGTAATGGTCCCAAGAGTAGTGATGCTGGCAATTTAAATATGCCAAAGAGAAGCTGTATAGTGCTTCCTGTAAGTAAAAAAGTATGTATTTATAGGTATTCACAGGAAAAATATAGTGTATGTAGAGTTTGATACTCTCCACTGTTTTAGGCATCCACTGGGTGTCTTGGAATGTATTTCACGCAGATAAGGGAGAATTACTGTACTTATTGATTTAAAAGTATGAAAGGATGGGATTTTAAATTGAAATATATTATGAGTGAAGTAAGCCGCCTGCAAATTAGTTTCCTTAAAATTAACTTACCCAACACCCTTTTAAAAGCACTCATTTGACCTTTTGCTAATGATCCATGGAGTCGTCAAGGAAAAGAATAGTAAAAACACCACTTTGGGGTGAAGCGGCAGTATGTTGTGTTATTTTGCTTCAATCATTTGTATGACAAGGTAAGAGAAAGAAGAAAAAAATTAACTATTTACTCATTGGTGCTAATTTATGCCTTCGTTCTTTATATGACAAGTACTTGAGAAATATATCACTTACCTTACAAATATTTCATAATTAGGATTTTTTAGTCATTCCTTCTAGAGTTTCCTACTATCCCTTCTCATTCTGAGTAGTGTTTTTGATACTTTAGATTATTTTTTCCACCTGAATGGTATCAAGTTTTAATATTACAAAAGTGCAAGGGTCAAGTGAGTTAGTAATCTTATTAAGCTTTTAAACCTACTTTTTCTTCATTTAGTTGGAAGTATTTTCCACCTTACATTCTCACAGAAGTTATATCAGAAACATGAAATAGCAATAACACATATAATTTAATCATTTATTTTATACGTATAAGTTTTGAGGCTATATAGAGCTATATGATTCTCTTTAGTTTTCTAGTTGGTCATACAGATGTGTTGGTTTATAAGAAACAATTATATTAAGGATTGTATCTGCCAATTATTTTTCTAGCCATAAATTGATGGCAGTGTTATCATTTGGGGTGATCTGAACTTCAGCCCTGGTAACACTGGGGGTCCTCAGTTCTTTTCACCAATACAGCAAAGAATTATAGCTCAGCAAGATTTAGGAAAAGTAAGATATTAAAATACATTTTAAGGAAGAAGCAGGGCATGCCTAAACAGGTTGTGTGGAAACAAAAGGTATGATTAAAAAGTACACTCCAAGCGAGGAGCAGATTATAGCTAGGGCTGTAACCTCATGGAAGTGAGGAGATTTGTATTATATTAGGGCCGCTATAGGGGAAGGAGTTACAAAGGCAGTCCTAGATGAGTGGCATGTGAGGTCATTTTGATTGATATTTGGCTGTTATATAAGTCTCTGCCTACTGTGCATGTGGTTACCCAGAATTCAATCTGTTATAATTAGATTCATGAACTTCTGGGCATAGGCATGATATTATAATGATGGTATAATAAGGCTGAGATGAAAAGAGGGTCAGAGTAGTTCTTACTGTATAAGTGTCTGTAGCCGGATTAAACCAGCTGTAAATTTATGATCCTTCATTCTTTTGTTCCTCAGGTTGCAGGGGAGATTTGTAACTATAAAATGGATATTCCAGGGAGGTTCTAAGGAAGGTCTCTGGGCTGGGCCTTCATTCTTTTGTTACCCTGTCGCTCATGTCTGTGTAACTACCTAACAGAAGTAAGAACGTTTTCAGGAAAAAAAAAAAAAAAATTGTTAGTTGGCTTTTCTTTTGCGGTAAATGAAGTAAAGCAATATTTTAAAGGGAAGATGGAAGTAACTGCAAAGACCATTTAGATTTGAACTCCTCTACATAAAGGTCATTCACCCTAAGCCTATTAGTCATATATGACTATCAGCTAATCTTCTCAGGCTGTAATTTCTCAAGCAAAATATAAGGCAGTGTGCATCCATCCCCAGCTTCGATGAAACTTTTATGAAGGAAAATTTATACTAGTTGCACATAATAGTTGGGAGCTGATTAAATGATTTATATTTTGCCTGATCAGAAAGCCAGGAAGATTAAAAATTGTGGCAATCCCCTCTCAGAGCACAATGATTGTCTTCAGGTCATTGCTAAGAAATTGTCAATGTGGTTCAAGGACAGCTCAGCACTTCGCACTTTCTCAAGGCAAGTCATTACTTAAGTGGTTAGATATGTAGTCCTAAGAGCAATGCCTTTGAAAGCTGATTTTTCCCTGTAATTATAGCCCTATCAAATAAGGTGTTAATTTAGAGTTGTTTGGTATTTCAAGAGGCAGGACATAAATGGAATTTACTTGAATTTACTTAAGTATCCTCCCGGAAGTCTTATCATTCAATTTCAAAATGGACATAACTTCATATTATGATTTTAATCATGCCAGTAACTCACTTGGAAACTGGAGACAAACTAAAACACACAAGCAAAGCAAATCTAGCTAACCGAAGGCAGGACTGGGGAGATTTTAGCTAGGCAGAAAGAATCTGCTATGTGTTATGAGCCAGGAAGGCAATGATTGAATCTAGAAAGGCAGATAGGCCTGAACAATTCTTTTACATATTGCCTATTTCTTATTCTGATATATATCTTTATTTATCAATAGAGTTTAAATAAGTCATTTAAATAAATGTCAGTAACAATGAATGTTTATTAGGCATTTACTTTATGCAAAATACAAAAGGTTTGGAAATTTAAGGAAAAAAGTTATAATAGGCCAAAGATTTGCTATTTAGCAGTATCAGAAGGGTTCTTTTACCAGAGATAAATTTGAGAAACTGGCATTGGAAGAAACAGAACCAAAAAGTAGTATACATACATTTCGTCTCACTCTTCATTGACGGCATTGCCATTGTTCTTTGCATACATGTCTGATTTTACCCTTAGCTCTCAGCATTATTGTGATGATGATGATGACTTTGATACTATACACAGCTATATTTTTTCTTCCATATGATTTGCTCTAGCTTACTTTTTGGTAAGAATGCAGTATATTATACATATACAAAATATGTGTTAATTGACTATATTATTAGTAAAGCTTTCAGTCAACAATAGACTGTTAGTAGTTAAGTTTTACATGGAATTCCGATTATGCAAGCAGTCAGTACCTTAAAACCCCATGTTGTTCAAGGGTCAACTGTACTATGAAATGTTGGGAAGGACGATTGTACTAAGATTCTGATATAAACTCAAGGTCTTGGTAGCTTTTTGTATTATCTGAGATTAGGGTGTGAGGAGCTTTCAGTCAACAGTAGACTGTTAGTAGTTAAGTTTTACATGGAATTCTGATTATACAAGCAGTCAGTACCTTAAAACCCCATGTTGTTCAAGGGTCAACTGTACTATGAAATGTTGGGAAGGACGACTGTACTAAGATTCTGATATAAACTCAAGGTCTTGGTAGCTTTTTGTATTATCTGAGATTAGGGTGTGGGGTCATTTAAAACTAACAGGGTTTGGAGCCATGAAAAGTGGATTTGAAAATTGAAAGCAGTCTAACAAATAAATCTCTGTAGTTACTCTCATGCATTTAGGAAGTTGGGAGGATTAATTTAATATTTATTTATTTTTATTTTGTTCATTGGCTGGTTTTTCTCAATCAACTTGGACTACCTGAGGTAGTTTTAGATTTTGTTTGTCAACCTAAAAACACTTCATGTCTTCCTGCCCTGTTCTGTGTTCTAGTACATGTTAAATTAATAATGGTGGTCTTGCAGTCATATTAGATAATATTTGAGGAATTTACATCTGGTGGTCATTTACACTGTACCTGCTATATCTCAATTACCTCTGAGAAAAGAAAAGGAAAGAATAAAATTATATTTTAGGGGTATCTATGCAACAAAATAGTAGAATTGAGCAGGAGTGGATTCAGTGATTTAGAAGAAAGCTATCTGCTTTAGCATTGGACAACTGAGAAGAAATTGATAGCTTTACTCACTTGCCTGAATAGAGGAATATACATATGTTCTTATATGTAAGGTTAGCAGAAATCTATTTGTTTCAAAGAGAAGAACATAAATAGACTATCATGGTTCAGGTTTCTTTTGGCTTAATATGGCATGTCAACTCTAAAAATGCTATAAATACTAAAGGAGATTTGGAGTGTCTGGAAATGGGGTGATAGGAGAGTTGTCTGGATTCATAAAATGATATATCAGTTACACTGCATATAGGTGTCCTTTTATGGGACACCATCACCATATTTAGACATAAAATTGAAATGGTGTAAATGTTATGTAAGAGACCCTAGAAGATGCCATGTTGAACCAACAGATAGATAAGATGTGTTTAGGAGGCTCAAGGAAGTGACTTCTAAAAAATTACAATTGAGAACTTTTTAGTAGTTTTACTTTTTTTCTATCAAAACTTTATTTGTAAATTTATATTTTATTTACAAATAAGTTGAGCAATATATTAATAAATATTATTTTGATTTATTTTTTCTTCCCAGATATAGCATATAGTAGAAGTATAATGGAGAAAAAAATGGGAGAAGAACTCGGAATGTTTTTATTTCTTCAAAACTACACACCTATTTTATTTGTTTGTTTGTTTGTTGTTGCATTGAAATTATATTTCGCAAAAGCAGTATGGTATCCAGATACACAATGGGAATTATTTGACTCTGAATTCCAGCATTTTCCATATTAATGAAAGCTATTCAGACTTAATTAAAGAATTCCTCTCCCACTCCCATCCCCAGTCTCTTTGGAAGGCTATAAGTAAATTCAAAGCAATGTAAATGATACATATCTTTTGTGATTTAAATGATAATCATGGTCACAGAAGCATGTTTATATTGTGCAGTAGAAAGTACTTTAAATTATAATATTCATTCATCAATTTTCAAAGAGCTGTTAAAGGTAGCATTTAAATACTTCTCACCCCACTTTAAAAATTTAAGAGCTGGGATTATTTCCCTGTTTTTTAGAAGTTATTGAATCAATTACTGTGAATTATAACAATTTATAACAGATAAGGGTACTCTAGAGACAATTTTACACATCAAAAATTTTTCATTCAATGTTACAAAAATGAAAGACTAAGTAAGTAGGAAAAGAGTCTGGCTAAATATACCAGATTTGACTACGAATTTATGGAGTTTGTGATTAATAAGTTCCCTTCTCTTAAACATTGGACATGTTTATGACTAAACTTCCAATCAGCTCTGTTGGGGTTATTACTTGACGTCATGTCTGTGTCTATCTCTTTCGATTCTTAGTTTGATTTCAAGTTTAATTTGTTATGCATATATACCACTATAATGAAAACTGACATAATCGGTTTATTCAAAATTAAATGATTCAAGAACATAATATAACCATGTAGAAAAATAAACATCCAAATGATGCAGCAGAGAAAAGACAAATTGCTTATGACTTAATTTATTTTGAAAAAATAATGGTGAAGCATCTTGGGAAGAAGTAATTATTTCTTCTATATTTGCACACAGTTAAAAATTAACTATAGCTATAACACTCATATTAAT